TTCCCTCTTCGTTAACAGAGGGTTTTCCACGTTAAACTTTGTGTTCTCCAGTTTTATTATTTTCAGTAGATCTTGGGCGGAGTTTCGGTGTGGTCGGAATTCCCAACAGTTAGAATGTTTTCAGTTTCTTGTGATTTTCCACCAAACTGCATTGTAGCTCACTAAAACCAAAATACTTGTAATGAATTTTTTTGTCCGTGTAGCAAAACCATAAGACATGGACGTAACTTAGTAACTTAGTAAATTTCAAAAACAACCAATTAATGTTTCCAAAGCAAGCATGTACAAGATTATGCACACAATTTATACAAGACCTTCTTTTAACTCCGCCATTGATTTCAACAATATCTTCAAGTTTGCTGATTGAATAAGCCATATGACCATTAAGTTCGACGTAGAATTAAACGCTCTTGTTGTATGTAGTCCAAGTCTAGAGAAGTAGAGAGTCCACAAGAATAATAATATGTATGGTTTAAGAAATAGTAATTTTCTGTCAAGCTCCAAAAGCAAATCGACTCGTTAGGGCTCTTTATGTTCAAAAATATTTTTATTTATTTTATATATATATATACACGTAATTTACTGAATTTTAGTTTCACTTGGTTCATTTAAGTTCAAGTTTGGCTCTTCGACGTTTGAGATGCATACATTTGTGTTGGAAATTTGTTTCAAAAGTCGCCGAAGTGTTTAAATGAAAAAAGTAGCTGAAAATTTTAAAATATGCTTAAGTTTAAATGAGTTATTCGTTCACTACAAGAAAAAAGGCATATAGTGACGCCTTATTTTTTGTTTAGTGACACTTTATTAGTGTTACAAAATATTTATCTACACTTTTAAAAATGTTACGAGTTGGGTTGCTAAATTTGATGATACGAAATTATTTGTGACGCAAGACTTATGCGTAGGTAAATTTCAATACATGACGCTTTTTAAAAGTGCGTCACTTTTACGGAATTTTTATGACTCAAGTGTTTGCGTCATCATTTTTCAACATATATAACGCTTTTTTAAGTGCGTTGTTATTATTAATTTTTAGCGACACAAAATGAATGTGTCGTAAGTTGCCAATAGATGACAATTTTTTATATGCGTCATTATTACAACCGATGTAAAAAGTTACCGATGACTAAAAAAATCACTTTTTACATCAATTTATAAAAGAACCGATGTAGAAAGTAATAGAAAAGGTAATAAAAAAATTTACATCAGGTAAACCAGTTGTAGAAACTAGAAAGTAACTTAAAAAAAAAATAAAAAAAAAAAATTATAAACTGATATCTCATTCCCCAATCGAAATTAAGTACAAGCACCGTCACACTCGTCACACTGTTCGTAATGAAAGCAAGTCATATCAATAATAAGGTCTTCACAAGATTAAAGAATGTGTACAAAATAAAATAAAATAACAATCACCTTCAAACAACATTTCTATTTCAACCATCATTGTCTTGTCCTGTTCGACGATCTCAATGTTTCAATTATGCGTTCAGAAACTTCGTCCTAGCATATTTAAAGCTTAAGGAGAAACAGCAATAGCTTCCTCTTCAAGCAAAACAAGCAGTAGAGTTTTATGAACAAAGTTAGAAACATTGCTAGAAGAATAGCGCATAGAACGGATTTAGCAGTGTTAGAAAAAAAAATAGCGCATACAGATAAAACATTAATGAAATAAGTATAGTATATCATACTAACCTTTTAAACTTTCAAGCGGTAGAAGTGTGGATGAAAGAGTCTCAAACACTAAAGCTAGCAACGAATAAGAATATCCTGGTAAAGCAATCCCATGCATAATAAAAGTTATGAAGATATAAGGAGTGCTTTCAAGAATTATGAACATAAAAAAATTATTTCGGTAAAATGATTTGGCAAGTCAGGCAGCCGCCTAAATTCATATAATAAACAAAAAGTAAAGCATTAGTAGTTATATGATTTGGCAAGTCAGCAGCCACCTAAATTCATATATGCATTTGTATAACAAAAATATTCTGCTATCCTATCAACCTTTCAATACAGCTGCCCAAAAACCTGTTTTTGTTCAAGGACAACGTGTAATAGATGATAATAGGAACAAAAGCTGACATTAAAATTAGGTAGCAAAATTATGTTCAAGCACCTGATTACGGTTTAATACTCGTTTCACCATTTCTTCTTCAGGACAATAAAAAAGAGCACAATGTCTGGTTCAACACCAATCTGCAGTTATAGACTTATGAATGAACATTTTCAAATGGTCATATAGCAACTGCCCGAACACAGATACCCAGTAAGCGAAGTAAGAGAGGAAAAGATGCGGAAAATTACTAAAAAATATATTGTACTTGAAAGGAATAAGTATACAAACTCAAAGAGAAGAAAGAAACTCACAACTCGTTTATATGCTATACGGTTCTCTTAGGTTCTTAGGAATCCGTCAATAAGAATTCTATCATTATCAATGGCTTCCATGGCCTTTTGAATAAACTGAATAGTCACTTCTGGTGGAACAATTTTCCTTTCTTTGATTGTATTGAGAAACATGGACCTGACACAGGTTATGATCACCAGTCATGCAATAAACATAGGAGGGATATCAAACAAAAGACCCGTGTCAAAAAGGGATGCATATTCTTACCCATTTTCACTGTTAGAAGCACTTTCTTCTCAACAAGTCTCCAACAGTTAGCAAATAGAATAATCTAAGACATGAAATAAGAAAAAAATAGTATTGAAATCGTTAAAACAAAACAATAATATGTTCCTATGACAATAACCTTATCCAATATCCAAAAACCAACACACAATGAAACTAATTTTCGGATCTCTACATCAAATTATAAGCACATAAAAAAATAATCCTCAAAGGCCATGTCGTCCTTATGCAACAAAATCATACAACTTTGCCTAGAAAAAAGCCAAAGTCAGAAAATAACAGAGAGTCAGAGACAAAAAGCATACCAGCTCCAATTCTTGCTCCATCTTAATTGTGTGTATGTGTGTGTGTGTGTGTTTGAAAAAAGGTTTAACAACAAAGTGTTCCTCCCCAAATTTCTCCTTTTCCTCCTACTAATTTATTCAATAACATTGAGGTAAAATTTGTGTGTAGCCTGTAATAATTATCCTTCTGTCTAATTTTTTTAGTAATTTTTTTTTTGGTAAATAATAATTCGTTAAATCCACTATCTAACTTTTTTGGTATTTTTTTTAATTACAAATATTAAACCACAACGCCAGTGTTTTTAACCCTAACTGACCCGACGGGTCGACCTAGAGCCGGAACTGGTCCGAGTGGGCTATTCGGACCGGGCAACAAAGGACACGGTTAAATTCGGTCAAAACCTGGCCAACCCGGCTTTGACCCGGTCGACCTGTGCATTGACCCGACTGGATCGACTCGGTCCCTATATATTTTTTTATTTTTTTAAATATTTGTCGTTTTTAAAAAATAAAACTATGTATATATACTTATATGGTAAATATTTATCATGAAATAGATATTGTTAACACTTTAATGGACATAATTGTTACTTTTATGTATATTTATATAAAAAAATACTCGATATATAATTTTAAAAATTTTAAAATTAATTAGCTGATTTTACAATTAACCCAGTAACCAGACAGTTGAACCGATAACCTGCCCGAGTCGATTTCGGGAGCGAGTTTAAAAACTATGCATAACGCAATTACAAATATGATCTCCGGTCGTGGCAATGGCAATAAATTCGAAAATTAACAATTTGGTTCGAGCAACCTGCGAGTCACGCCAACCCTCTGATTGTGATAATAAGTTCAATTTTGGTTAATCGGATTTTCAACCAAATCTGCTCTCTCACACACTCACACACCAGTCCAATAAAAAAGATTTCGACAGATTGGAAAAAAAGGCTGTCATAAAAATTCAATCTTTTTTTTTTCTCCAGCAGAGCACAGGCATTGCTCTTCTGTCTCACCAACTATATGTGGGAAATGAAAAAATGAATTGCTGTTGTGATTTTTTTCTTGTCTGTGAAATTTCTTGAGATGGGTTCTTGAGTTCTTGGATCTTGATTCATATTAAACTCAAAGAACCCAATTTTTTTTATTTTTTTTTTAAAAAAATATATTTTTGCCTTGTCTGTGAAATTTCTTGAGATGGGTTTTTGAGTTTCTTGGATCTTGATTCATATTAAACTCAAATAACCATTTAAAAAAAAAAATAAATAAATAAATAAATTGAACTTGAAATCGAACAGTGAAAAGAGGGGTTCTTGAAAAAATGAGCGCAACAAAATTCATAAAGTGTGTGACTGTGGGTGATGGGGCTGTTGGGAAAACTTGCATGTTGATTTCTTACACCAGCAACACATTTCCTACGGTCAGTTCATATGAAATTTGTTTGTTTTTTCTTCTCTTTATTACATTCTGTTTTTTTTTTTATTAGGACATTCTGGTTCAAAATTTTGTAATGTTGTCCCAGTTCTTGATTATTTTCATCAAGTTATTATGACATTTATCTTCAACAGTTTCTAGCTTGAATCTTGGTAAGGATTGTGCTATGGTATATGATTCTCTTGGTTTTTCCTTTTTTTTTTTTTTTT